GGAGAAGATCACCAGGACTCCACTGCCCTCTCTGCAGAGCATTTGACACCTCAGGGTGCATAGGAAAGCTGCCTCTATCCTCAAAGATCCCACCCACCCCCAGCATGGACTGTTCACCTTCCTACCCTGTGGCCAGAAGTTCAGAAGTGTGACATGCACGACCACTAGACTGAAAAACTCTTTCTTTCCCTCTGCCATCAGACTCCTAAACAGCTGAGGAGTTTATTACCAGGAAATACGTGATGTACTGTTTACATTCTCAGTTTGCACATGGATAGTTGCACATTGACTGTTGACTGCTGCTCATGCTGCTCCCATGCAGCAAACATTGTTATATTCTTATATATTTTTATTATATTGCTGCATTTGCTGCTTAAAGTGCCTTAGATTTTGTGTTACTTATTTATCTACTTTATATTTCATTTGTATTTTGTCACATTCATGTGGACGGCAAAGTAAGAATTTCATTGTACAGGGAAACACGTTTCCTAACTGTGCATATGGCAAATAAACACTTTGACCTTTGACCTAGAACAGGGTAGAGTTCTGGTTGCCATCACCTGCTGGTGATCAGAAGAACTGCAACTGAGTTCGTTTCTTCTTCAGAGACAGCCCGCGCCTTCCACCAGCATCCAGGCTGGAGAGGAGACAGTTAGCACAGCAACAGCACCAGCTGAACCCTGTGGTCACTGGTGGGGGAGATGGAGGGATGAGAACACCACAGAGGAAGAAGGGGTGATCCTTTTCTTCTTGTTTTTACTCTACTACATTTTATTGTCTGTGTTATTCTATCTGCCTCTACTCTACTGCTCTCTACTGTTTTCTAGTCTTCTACTCTATTGTCTGTCAATGTTAATGTCAAATGTATTTATGTAGCACAATTTAAAACAACCACAGTTGACCAAAGTGCTGTACAAACAGAAGTAGAAATAACAAACAAGATTACTTGCCCAATAAAACAATTTAAAATAAATAATCATTAGATAAAAAAATTTAAATAAATGGAAAATAGAAGTACAAAAGATTAAAACAGGATGTCTTTACTCAACCGAACACCAGTAAAAGTGTGGTCACCTCTGTTTTTTAGCTTTGTTCTTGGATTAATTTTTGGATTTTAGATTAATTGGAGTTCATTTAAAAATGACTGATCGATACCCACAAAGAGGGAGTTACAGTAGTCCAGATGTGATGTAATAGGCATGAATAACTCTCTCAAAGTCTTTAAAGGACAGATAAGGCGTTACCTTGGCCAGCTAGTGTTCACTATAGAGCTGATTTGTTTATTTAGTATAAAAGAACTGTCTAAAATCCTGCCACAATGTGTTTTGTTTTATAAAAGATCTGTTATATGACACGAGAGCCAAGCAAAGCAGCAGAATCATTGACCTGGTCAGGAGGTCCAAACAGAATAATCCAAGTCTTGCTTTCATTTAAATGTAGAAAATTAAAATCCATCCAAGTTTCAATGTCATTTAGGCAGTTTAGTGAGAGCTGTAAAGAATCACTACTGCAAGTAAATTTGCACTTCATCAGCAAAACAATGAAAAGAGACATTATTCTTCCCAAAAACTGACCCAGGGGTAGCAAGGGTAAAGAAAACACTATAGGGCCCAAAATGGTCTCCTGAGGGACCCCGCAAGGAAGTGGGGCTACGGATGAGGAATCCTGACCTACATGAACAGAGAATGATCTGTCGGATAAAAATAAAACCACTTAAGGACAGTACTTTTAGTGCCTACACACTGTTCTAAACATGATAGAAGGATCTGATGATCTGCAGCCTCAAAAGGTGCGGTCAGATCAGAAGAAAAACTACTAAGATAGGACAGCTTCCAGAGTCAGCAGTTAAAAGAAGATCACTAAAAACTCTTAGCAGAGCTGTTTGGGTTCTGTGGTGAGACTTAAAACCAGACTGGAATCTTTCACAGATGTTACAATGATCTAAAGACGTCAGTTCTACTGTATTATGTTCTTCTCTACCCTCTTCTACTCTCTTTAGCTTTTTTTCTGTTTGTTTTTACTCAAGCCTACTCCATTTGATTCTACTCTGCTCTCTTCTTCCTTATTTCTGTCTGTGCTGTGAATCTCCACCAGCTGCACTCCACTCTCCTCTAACCCGAACTCTGACCCTCCTCTTCACTGCGCTCTGTTTTATTCTATTACAGAAGAACCTAATGCAGGGCAGGAAGGGGTGGGGGTGGAGGTGGGAAAGAAACAGGGCAAAGATGAAAAGAGATGGAAAGTGGACCCATCGCTGGAGGAAGAAGGAAGAAGAAGCAGCAAAACGAGGACCAGCACAGGTTGGTCTGGTCAGATAGAAAACAAGTCAGATCTACAGCATGAAGCAGCCTGGTGCACTCGGGGCCATGCTGGTAAAGTTTAGCTGTACAGACAGAAGCTCTTCATTCTGTCGTATATGTCTGTGCAGATTCTCAGTCATCCAGGTCATAGTAAACTGAAAAAACTTAGAAAAAATCAACTGGACTAGATTTCTAGGTCGAAGACGTTTCACCTCTCATCCAAGAGGTTTCATCAGTTCTGACTGACTGGTGTTGAGTCGGAGATATTTATCCCCCTACTATGACCTGGATGACTAAGAATCTGCACAGAAATATTAAGAGAGTAACATCAGCTCGCGCCATGCTCTGTTTTGTTGTTTTCAGTATCATAATCCCAGAATTGTTTCCCATGGTGGCCCTTTTTTGTTTTAAATGACATCTGATTTGAAAGCTGTCAATGCTCAGATTCAGAGCTCTTACCAACAGACCCACACTTTAGGATTTTTCGTCCGACACACACAAAGAGAAGGATATAAAAGCTACTAAAGAGTCTAAAGCTTGGGATCTCCTGATGCTGAAGTGCCCAGGGTTGTTAGGCTTGGCTTTCCCAATGCTGGCACTATAAAATGAATAAAATAAATATATGTATTTGGGACAGTTGCTGTACTGCCATTCAATTTGACTTGTGTGCCTTGAATAACGATCTTCCTATTTATTATCTCAGACAAATGCAACAGTTTTATGATGCATCAAATTGAACAAGACAAGAAAAAAATAAATGAATAAACTAAAACACTGTTAACTTTAACATATAGTTTGACATTTCAACGGAATTATTTAAATTAATAAAGTGAAACAATGCTGAGTTTAGGTTTAGGAGTACCCAGCACAATACTGATGTGTCTGTGTGTATATATGTATGCATATGTACATATAAAGGCACAAACCTATATATAGATATATATCAAATTCCTCACTCATAAGGACAAGAGTCCGTCCCTCAATAGACAATTCCCAGAGTGGACAGAAGCCCCAGAAAAAGGCAATAGGGTATCCACAAGCCTTAAGGGAGTTCTGGATGTGTAATTTTTCCTCCTTGGCCCCTTCCACCGTTGTGGGCACTTCCTCTGCCCTGTGATTCAAAGTTCTGATGACTCCCAGTTTGTGTTGAAGTGGATGGTGTGAGTCAAAAGAAATCTAAGTCCAGTAGATTTTTTCTAAGGTTTTTTTTTTTAATTCTGTCGTATAGAAAGTCGCAGCTTCCTCTGTCAACATGTAGCTGGTCTGGATAAATCTTAGTGTTAGTGACAGCCTGTCTCACTGTGGAAAAAGGAAGATGAGACCTGTGCTCGCCTGTGGAGGCGTTTTATCACCACTATCGAATTTAATCCAGTTCCACATCCTCTTATTGAACCTGTTTAGTAGTTGTTCATTCATTAACCCTGCCCTCATTCAGCTCCTCACTGGGGGACTGTATCAGCTCAGTAACTCTCTCCTGGTCTGCTGCACCATGCACTGAGTGTTGGCTGCAGGCAAACTGGTTGTTGCACTGCTGCAGGTCCCAGAGTCTGAACCATCAAAGCCAGATGCACCTGTACAACTGAATGAAGCCCTGCCATAACATCTTTGTTTATGAAGCTCGGCAGTTTTCAGTTTTTGGTGAAACTGTTGAATGCTGTGTTTATCATTGAGGTTGTAGTTACAGGTGGTGTTCTTCTGGACTGCTTTATAGCCAGAGGTGGTTCTAACATTCTGACCCCCTCTTGGAAATGAGGACAAAAATAGAGAAGTGAATCTAACGCAGCGACACTAACGTCAAGGTGTCCGTGTCCTTGCAGGAGATGGGGTGGAGGAGGTGGAGGAGCAGGTGGAGATGGAGGAAGAGAGAGTCAGAGGACGATGACTGGACTCCACCTCTGACAAGGCTGGAAGAAGACGAGGAGGAGGAGCAGAAGGAGGAAGTAAAGAAAGAGGAACCAAATGAGATGTGTCCATCTCACTTACCTGGTTGTCCAGCTGACTGTGTTCATCATTACACTGTACAGGTGAGGAAGACGGGTGCACACCAATAAACCTGCTGTCTCCTTGCTGCTGATGTTCTGCTGTGTGTCTGCAGTTAATCCATAAAATATAAAACATGAGCTACACCATTTAAAACATTGTGTTCAGCTGAGCTTAAATGCTTTACATGAGTTGTGTTACTGTGTGTGTATAGTTTCCTTCGTTTGAACTGGTCAGTGGAACTGGAGAGCTGCCTCCTGAAGGACTGATGACTGGGACACACATACAGGTAACACACGTTTCTACGGTAACTACCTAGACTGGACTTTGCAGTTATACGTTACATGGTTGGACCATCTGCACTAATTTGAACCAGACAAAATGTTCTTGTTGTAGAAGGGGAAACATTTGTTTTGTCAGGGCTCGTTCTGTTATTTTCTCCTGACACGATTTGGCCGCATTGAGGTAATTTTATGAGTCTCATTTGGTTTTTTGTTGCAGCTGAACTTGACTCTGGACAGAAGCCATTTTACTCCCAGCATCCTCTCTGACGCCACCTTCAACACACAGTCAGGACTGCAGCCTCAGGTAACACACCCACCCGACAGGGTTCTCCAGACTGGGTCGTGGTCCTGCGTGCCTGAACATTCTCACACACATCTGTTGGCTTGAACAGTAAACGTGGACTCTGTGCAGACCCTTGTGGGCAGATGACAGCATTCACATGATTCACAGAGGGTCTACCTGGTTGTTGGAGGTGGGGTGGTTGAATAACAGCAGGAAATGTTGAGTTCAGGTTCCTGTGCTGCACATTTCTAATAACGTGCCTTCAATAACTCATAGTGATCATTAATAATTATCTAATAACAGTGTGGCCAGAGCGTGTCAACCCAGGTCCGTAGAAAAGCTCTTTTATAAGGTGTAGCTGGGACCACAAGGTTGTCGATGGGTCTTTGACACAAGTCTTCTTTGTCCAGGAGGGTTCAGGCCTCCACATGTCCACTGGTCTCGCCTACACCCCTTCTTCTCTTCATCCTCTGCTCCTCCAGCCCAAAGAGGAGGAGGAGGCTGTGGACATCGATATGCACAGGAGGATGGGAGCTGAGGATGGGGGCATGATGGAGGAGACAACAGCACAGGTGGAGGAGGAGGAGTGCCGCAAAGGAGTGACGGATGGAGGAAAGTACTATGAGGTGGAGGTGGAGGTGCCAGGCTCCGACTCTGAGGAGGAGATGCTGATGGCGGCATCACTTGCTGCTGAGGTCACTGATGATGTCACCAAAAAAGTGACATATGATGTCACAGCATCTTACCCCATCTACAAACCCCCAGAATGCATTTCACTGGTCAGTCAACACACCCCTCTAAAACCCACCAGTTCAGATGTGGTGCCTGTGTTTATCTGTCCTCCCTCTCTGTTCTCAGAGTTCCGGGTCATTCCACCTGTTAGGAGGCGGGCTCAGTGATGGTGTCACAGGTGGGTGGAGCCTGTTACGCCTGCTGCGGGCACTGAGGAGGATGGTTCTGCCAGCTCACTGGGTGGCTGTTCTGGCTGATGGACCTCTGCTGCAGCTGCTGCAGTGCTCCAGGGTACGACGGTTAAGAGTCAGGACATTGTCATATGAAATGAAGATGGAGGTAGCGAGGTGTTACATCACCTGATAGCACTGGAGCCAGAGTGAAGCCCAGAGTTGCAGCTTACAGCCGACACCATATTTTCCTCCCGGAGCCAGGAGCTTCAACAAATAAGGAGCTGGGGTGTTTCCGCTGCCCCGCTGCCTCAGTCCGAACACTAGCTCACTTCCCTCCTGTTGCCTACCAGACTACAAACATTGTGTTCCACTCTGCCGCATGATTTCAGCTGCTGGCTAAATGTTCGCACACAGTGTTGTGTTTGAGAACAGTAAAGTCAACTTCACCTGATGTAGGAAACACTAGAAATGTCACCTGTGTAGCAAAGACACAATCAACTAGCTAATTAGCAGGCTAGCTGTCGGACTGGATAACGCAAATGTATTGTATATACTGACTTACTGTTAATGTTAGCTAAGTGAGAAAAAACACTCTTTGCCCCACCACCTCTTTTCTGTTTACTGAATCCAGAATCGAGTTTGAATCGACTCGTGACTTGTATCTGAATCCAGTCATGAGATTTCCAGAGATTCCCATGTCAGCGGCTGTACTATGGCCGAGACCCGAGCTGGCACCTGACAGGTGAACAGCAGGTGACAAGGTGTTAGTCAAAGTGTTTTGACAGATGCAGACAAAGTGTCGTGTGGTTTACTATCTGTTCTGTGTGTGTCTGCAGCTGTCCTCCATGGCCGACACCATCGTCCACATCCAACCTGATCGCTGCTTCTACATCACTGTCCAGAGCCGACTGCTGCCTGACACACACACTCTGTACCACACGCACACACTGAGGATCACAAACCTCAGTCAGGTAATACACACACACACCTGTCTGGTCTGAGTGTAGACCTCTGCTGTCGGTGTTTGAGGGCTGTCTGGGAGGGCATGGCGTGGGTTCAGCTGTAATGTCTTTTAGAGATGGGTTTCACAGCATCATCAATGAGAAAACAACCCAGAGTGAGGAGGAGACAACACATGAGAAGTTGTTTTGTGACGAAAGAAAGCTGCTGTTAGCTCAGCGCAGTGGTTCTGGATGGTTTTCATGCTCCTGCGTCTGACCAGTAACACTGATTGAATCTTGTACTGACAGAGTCTGTCAGGAGTAAAGGAACCTGTCAGTTAAAATAAAACCTATTAAATGTGATCCTTTGTTTGTTTGTGACTTGACTCAACTGAACTGCAGCTGCTGCAGGAGTCATAGAGAAGAACTATGTTGTAACCACAAACATTAATGCAGAGTAAAATGGGGTTTATTGACGCTTCCAGCTGCTGTCGACATTAACTGTAGATGCTAACAGTGCTAACAGTGCTCTGTGTCTGTCAGGTGGTGTCTCTGCTGTTGGAGCTGGAGCAGCTGATCATTTGTCGAGGATCAAGGGTTAGATCCTCCACCTGTCGACTAGACGTACGATCACCTACCTGCCACCTGCTAGTGGCCCCACCATGCCTCACCTGTCTGCCCTGCCTGCTGGACGGCGAGGAGGAGGAGGAGGAAGATGAGGAAGAGGAAGAAGTGAGAGAGGATGAACTGCCTGTCGCTGAGCCCTGCCCTCACTTCTGACCTGTCACAGCCATTTTCCCCTTAAGTGCTTCTAGAGGAACAAAAACTGCAGTCTGGTGGAGATAAGAAGTCACCTGACAGGAAGTTGCCTGATCAGGAAAAGACCAGGAAAAATCTAATTCTCTGCTTCAAACTTAATTTAGGGCAGTAAAAGTGCTTCTCCTGAGAACCTGCAACACACACAGGAAGCGATGTCACACTAACTCTGCACATACACACACTAAGTTTGGTCTGATTGCAGTCGTGGTCGAGGTTCCTGTGTTAACATGCTAACAAACATGTTTACACACTGTAAAGCTGTTGATGTTATTGTAGCTCACCCTCAGATATTAATGATATTTAAAGGTGGTATGCTAGCAGTTTAGTGTGCTTAAACATTACCCAGGTTATTAAACATGTAAAACAAAAACATTAGACTGGAAAACACTTAGTATTAGCATTAGCACATATTAGTACACTAACAGTTATATATAATAAAAATGAGGACATTCAGCACAAAAATCTAAATATAAGCCTGCAAAAGTTATTGGTAAGAAGAGGGTGCTAATATTGTTACTTGTAAACAAGCATGAACTTGCACAGTATAAAAACACTTGTAGTGTTTCTACATGCGAACACAATGTAATACAGTGGGTACGGAAAGTATTCAGACCCCCTTAAATGTTTCACTCTTTGTTATATTGCAGCCATATACTAAAATCATTTAAGTTCATTTTTTTCCTCATTAATGTACACACAGCACCCCATATTGATAGAAAAACACAGAATGTTTGACATTTTTGCAGATTTATTAAAAAAGAAAAACTGAAATATCACATGGTCATAAGTATTCAGACCCTTTGCTGTGACACTCATATATTTAACTTAGGTGCTGTCCATTTCTTCTGATCATCCCTGAGATGGTTCTACACCTTCATTTGAGTCCAGCTGTGTTTGATTATACTGATTGGACGTGATTAGGAAACAACAACTCTCCCCACCTTTAGCCAGTGTTTTAGCATGTTAGCATGCTAACAATCATTAATGGTACTGTGAAAAACCAAAACAGAAAAATACTTTTTCACAGCTCCTCCCCCCCCCCCACACACACACCTGGATTTCTGGGCAATGAAGTCACACTCTTACCTCAGTCAGTTGTGGAGCTTTAACGTAGCCTGTTGAGTGTTCACAGACCAAACTTGTCTACCTCATTGTTGTTTCTAAAGCTCCAACATGGCCGACCTGTGGCTGCTGTTCGGGCTGCTGCAGTTTGTTATTGAATGTTAATCGTTTTTGGTTCTCTTCTAATGTTAGTGTTTAGATCTCACATGTTTCTGGGACTGCAAATGTGTTTTCATTTTAAATTGTGTTTACTGTTCACTCTGTTTTCTAAATTCTGCTGAAAACTGGATTTACTTTATTTCTACATCTGAACAGAAACCTGGCTCTAGGGAAGAGGAAGAAATCGGTACACTACATGGCCAAAAGTATATGGACAAGTGTTTTGATGTCCTGAGTCATTTTAAAAATGGTAATGTCTACACGCCATCTTGGAACCACGACATTTGTTCAACAGGGCAGCGTGTTGGGTCTGAATGGATGATAATCAGGTTCAAATGCTTAAAAATGGACAGCACACCTACAAATTAAATTACATCTTGGGTAGATCTTAAAGAGTGAAACGGCTGCACAGAAGCACAGACCACACACATTCAACAGGTGCACTCTGGTATGAATCAAGATCAGAAGACTATTTAATCTGGACCAAGCCCTTGACAATTGCGCCAAGCCGAGCGCTGTGCAAGGTCCTGCGTGCTATCGTACCACCTCACCTGTCATCTCTCAGGTGAAGTGGTGCATTGAGATCAAAAGTTTAAAACCAGCCAAGAGGTTAAAAGAAGTTCAACTTGGGTGGGTGTAGTAGGTTGAAAAACGCTACATTTTAAGTTTTACATCTAAACAGACACCCCCTATATTTTTTTGTTTTATCACTGTGTCTTTCATAAAGTTTGTGTACACTATACACCTCCGGACCGATAGATGGTACTGTGGCGCAACTGTGGAGAATGGAGAGACTAAGTGCAGGCAAGCTCTAGAATTAAACAAGCTATGGCCTGGTTAACATGTCCTCTCTCCTTATTCACAGCCATAGTTGAACACATACTTAGGCAACACAGTACCACGTTGACTGTGTGCCACTTGCTGCCACCCAGCCCCCTAGGGCTGATGGCGGTAACAATTGGGGGCTCGTCCTGGATTCGGTGAGAGCAACTGCCTAGTGAAGAAGGCAGATACAGCGTTCAAGGTGTCCAGAACTTCAAGGAAGGCTTCAACCAAGTGTGTCATCCCGAGAGTGTCTACCACCGTTGAAATGTCATAATGGCCACTAATGCACCAAGGCGGGTGCTGATTGTCAAGATCCAGAGACAACTTTCAAGCCTGAGCACAAGTCAGCTACAGGTCATAGTCCATTCTATTGATGATGGCAACGTAACAAACATTGAAGAGTTGAGCAACACTGACTTGTATGAGTTGATTGTTGACTACTTGAGAAGTGAGAAGTTACAGTCCTTGGAGGATGAAGGCATGTCCCAACTGCTCCTCCTAGATGACC